ATACCGTTCCCCATAGCGACCCCTAGAGGACGCAGTTCGAAGTTCCACGAAAGGGAACGTCTCGGGTTACTTATGTAACCATGGTTCCCTGAGGGGAACGAGACACTGCGTCCTCTAGTTTTTGTGCCATGCTGCGGACACAAGCTTCAGACGAAGAAGTGATGATGTGCGCTACCGGCGCCTATTTTGTACTAGTTGCGACGGTAGTGACGTCATGGCTGTCGCCGGCCAAACAAGTTGGTGTTTTATCAATGTAGGCTTCAGACACGGGTCACGACGAGGCGTTCCCCATAGCGACCCCTAGAGGACGCAGTGTCTCGTTCCCCTCAGGGAACCATGGTTACATAAGTAACCCGAGACGTTTTCCATGTTAAGCAGCACTGATGTTTTCAACACTGATAATTATAAGAAATATTTCTGGAGCATCAAATTGTCATATTAGAATGATTTCTGAAGGATCATGTGACACTGAAGACTGAAGTAATTTCTGAAAAATGCAGCTTTACCATCACAGGAATAAATGACATTTTAAAATATATTCAAATATAAAACAGTTATTTTAAATTCTAATAATTTTTCACAATATCAGGAATTATTATATTTTTGATATATAGTAAATATTGCCGTGGTAAGCATAAGAGACATTAAAAACACTAAAAAATACTTACCAACCACACTTTTGAACAATATAATAAATAACATATTATAATATAATATCATAAACCACAGCGACATTTTGTAAGATTAAGGCTTAAAAAAATAGAAATTGACAATATTATATAAAATTTTTTTTGACTATCTTGTTTTAAGGGTGTTTACCTGTTTTCAAATTAAAAACAAGGCAAAAATATGACTATTCATATTTCTTGTTAAATGTAATAAACACATGAAAATGAGAAAGAAAATAATTTCCATTTTCAAGATTTTTTTGAGGTGATGATCTGTGCAGGACGGGTGAGCTGCATTGCAGGGTACAATAGGAATATAATTGCACTTTAAATTGTTTAGCTCTCATGAATGCTCACTTTCTGATCAAGCTGTAATTTTCACCTGTGCAGCTGCCTGTCACACTCAAATACTGCAATAAATTTATATCCACTAATGTCAAGTTCACCCAAGCAGACTATTAGTGCAGCAGTGTATCACAGAATGTGAATTCAGGCTGTTACGTGACGTGAGCATGAAGGGAAAGAGGGTCTCTCCCTATCTCAGCACAACACTCTCAGCTTTGACTCGCATGCTGAAACTCCTAATGGAGATTCAGTGTGATGTAAGTTACCAAACTCTCACAACAGCCTCTCACTTACTCAGTTTGTCTATTTTTCTCTCCCTTTCCTGATGATAAAGGGCAGGAACTTCCTCGCTTAAAGGAAAGAAGACTCTGCTAACATGAGGGACAGGACTAGCGCAAGGTCATATGGGTTTGTTTGCATACCCCAATTTGGTTTGGACTGATCCCAATTTTGCCTTCAGTATGATACCAGACTCTGATACCTCAGAACTAATTCAGGACTTCAGACAACAAATAAACATTCTTTAACAGAGGAAATTAAACTTGTCTATTCCCTAAAAACAAATGTTTTGGGTTTTAAAAAAATTGATGCAACAGTTTACATCAGTCTTTGCAAGTTTTGACAACTTCATCCAACAAATTTCACTGAGCTAGAGTACGTATCTAGCATATATGCAAGTCATCATTGCTCATTGGCCACGTACACACTGCAGCTAAATTTGGTTGTCAGTTCTCCTGATTAATCCTGTTCTGTACACACACAGTTCAGTCATTTACCGGAGTGACAACCGCATTCTACAACCAAAATCACAGAAAACGTGGTACGTCTTAACTCATTACTGTTGCCAGATCTTGCTAGAAAAAAAAGGCAAATAAGAACAAGAACGAAACTTAAATTCAAACACTTTATCTGGCAAATAAGCCATAAAACAAATTATTGTGATTTGCACATGTCTACTTTATTAGCTCTATAAACTGGATTGCTTTATGAGCCAAGCACAAAACAACAAGCCTAGAAATGCCTAATAACGGTCACTTACAATAAGTGGACATGGCAACACTTCAAGAGCGCTCTGCAAAGCAGCCTTCCAAAAATAATCAAAGCCCAACAGCTCTGTTGACAGTAGTTTAGTAAAAATCACCAAACACAACAAGTCTCTGGTCACTTTAATGTTATTTTGGTTAATAGTGACGGATACTAAACGTGCAGTATCACAGAACGTTACCTCAGTGTCAATCATAGCTATTTTGGGAGTGAGTTTTGTTCTGTCCATACACGAAACAATCATTTTGGGGACTCACTGCCGTATTTAAAAGCAAAAGCCACTCCTGAAACTTTACAGTGTAAATGTAGTGTATACCTTCATGTAGCCACCCATAAATTGACCATGAGCACTACTCTTCAGCACAACAGTAACCACAAAAACTTCAAAATAACAGCAACTCTTTTAAATATCAAACCTAACAGCATTAAACACTAATATTTAATGATCAACATGTTAACAGCACTCATCAAAATAATGTTTCCAACTAAATAAAAAATCTATATATTACAATTTGAATATTGTGATGATAAGTTCCTTCAATTTTGTAGCTGATTGTGTAGGACTGTTGCTTGTTTTCTTGCCAGACCAACTGTAAGTGGCCAAAATACCTCTAAAGCAAGCAAACAGACTGCTAAGACTACCCAGAAAACCAACAAACCATCTTATGCTGATTTAATCAGTTTTTTCCCTACTGGGGATAAAACAATTTTTTTCCACCTCTATGCAAATAGCTGGGTGTATCAGCCAATTAAACTTACTGTCACTGCAGCAAACTCTTCAGTCTCTTAAAGTCAACAAATATGTAACAGAAGCAACAACAGATCATTTCTTTTGTACTGTCACATATGAGTGGAAAAATAAAATTGGATTACCAAAAAATAAAATAAAAAATATGCCAGTTACTTGGTTCTATTCTTTGGTTGTTGATTTGATGGAGGCAGATCTGAATGCAAGCTTGTGGTCAATGATGGAAGGATATGGTTTAAGCAACTAAATGGTTAGAGAGAA